CTCTTCCGAACATCTTTTAAATGGTCAACAGACTCCAAGTAGAAATTGTTTATCAGAGAGGCTATCGTTGTCTTCATTTCCAGCATAGCAAATCGTTGACCTATAACATAATGTATATCACAATATGTTTATATAACAACTAACAAAGTATAAAAAAAATTATATCATACCGATACAGTTACGTGGTCCAGCACCGAATGGTATATATGAGTAAGGATGACGATTTCGAACCTTCTCGGGCAAAAATCTATCTGGATCAAATACTTCTGGATTTGGCCAAAAATTAGGGTCTCTATGAACTCCGTAAATATAAAGTTGTAAATGTGTTCCGGAAGGTACTAAATATGATTCTAAAAAGTATATTATAAGACAACATTTATCAATAATAATTGAAAGCTGATTTAAAAATCTAAATAAATTTTTAAAAATATTAAAAATTAATTTCAAAAATACAACAGAAGGTTAATTTAATGCGTACGTAATTTTACGTCTTCTGCAGCCATGCGTATGATAACATATGCAATAGGATATAAGCGCATCCCTTCCTTTATACATCTCTCTAAGTATGACAGCTGTGTCAATACTTTTAAAGTAAACTTGTCTTTATTCTCTCGCATAGCAATACCGATTTCGTTTCTAACACGATCCTATATCATGAATATTAATTAAAATTACATTTGTTATTTTAATGTTTTTATGTATACTCACCGGCAAAAAAACCGGGCACCTATTGCATAACCGGGTGTCCGGTTTTTTTGCCGGTGAGTATAGATAAAAACGCACTCCAAAATTAAGATATTTAAAATGTTGATACATTTTAATAAATAACTTTTGAAATTATTGAAAATGAATAATTTATTTGTTTAAGTATGGATCTATAATAGATACCTGAATGTCCTTATGCTCAGCTAATAATGCCAAAATGAAGCATGTACTCATCGCTGTAGTATCATGACCCTATAATCATTATATATAGATTGACAATTATATTCATATTAAATATGTTATATAAAAAACAATAAAGAAAAATGACAAATATATACCGCAGCCATGAAAGTGTTGACTTCCTCCCTAATATCTGAATCAGTCATTAAACCTTCACGGTATGCTGCTATTAGAACATCCAACATTGCAAGACGCTTTTTTCGCGCTAAATCAAAATATATAGGGATATCATTATGATTTTAGCCTAATTTTTTATTGGATTTTATTATACATATACCAGCTAATACTGTTTACGTTG